GCCGTTGCCAAGAACACCGGCACCGGCGCACGCAGCAGTAGGCGCCCAGCGCGCCGTCGCAGAGAACACCGGCAACGGCGTTCGCAACAGCAATCGCCCAGAACACCGTCGCCCAAAAAAACAGGCGTCAACGGACACCGACAGACCCCGCAGAGGCATCGTCAACGAGGTGACACATGAGTTACGTAAAAAGTGAACATTCAACGATCCGAAATTTTGCGTACGGCCGCCATTGCAATTCCAGTCATCCACGCGAGCGAGAATCGGTGCAATAGCAATTATTTGATCGAGGCGCCATTGTTAAACACTCTTTCGGTAGGGACGTGACGCGAGATCCTATTCGTGGAACGAGTGTATTTAACCGAGTTGGTGTATTTAAGTAGCATAAAGAGGCGAATCTAATACAATGCCACTACCTTCGTATGAAGAGTTGCATGAGCAGCTGTTGCAAGCGCAAACCGCTCTGCAGCAATTACAGGCATGGCCTAACGCGAGCGGTGCGCATGTCGATTCATATAAAATTCCTAAAATTCCACCGTTTCTAATTACGGATCCCGTGATACGGTTTATTCAAGTAGAAGCAACGTTCGAAACCGCGCGTATAACAGATCAGAAAACTAGAACGCATTACGTTATTATGTCATTGGACGCTGAGGCGATTTCATGTTGTCGTGATCTCATTGAGCGGCCTGATCAAAATGAGCCGTACTTCAAATTAAAAGAACACATAATAGAAAACTTCTCTGCATCGGCAGAAAGTCAGCTCCGGCAACTAATAAAAGGGCAAGTTTTGACCTCCGGGAAACCTTCGCACATTCTTAATAGATTGCGTAATCTCAACCCCGATAAGCGATGTGACGATGATGTACTGTTAAAGACCATTTTTTCTGAGTACTTAACGCCTTACGTCAAGGGCATTCTACCGACTTCTGAGATCACTGATCTCAATAAATTAGCGAAAATGGCAAACAAATAACTGAAACCGCTAACGACTCTTCACAGGTTATCGCCGCCGCGGCCACTAAAGATTCGAAGATGTCAGAGCTCGAAAATAAGCTCGAGTGTCTTACCGCGGAATTAGCAGCCCTTTCGGCTCTGATTAAATGGTCCAGCAGATCCCCAACAAGAGGCTCACCTGATAGGAGTCGTAAGCGATCTAAGAGTAGACGTGCCAATGTAGTTTGTTGGCCACATAGGACCTTCGGTGACAAAGCGCGAGAGTGTAAGGGCACGGAAGAACAGCCGTGTACGTGGCCGAAAAATAACGCTCTTTCGGGGGGCTAAAACAACCTGCGGCACAAGAGGCGAGTGTTGCAGGTCAAAACCAATCGTTCCGTCTCCATGTTCGCGATCGGGTTACAGGGGAGACATTTCTAGTCGACACGGGTGCGGAAATTTCACTCTTGCCAGCTGGTAATACGAGGGTCATTTGAAAAGTTTCCGGCCTTATCAACATAAAGTAACTGTAGAAAAAAAATTTCTTTCGTCGTCCGATAGATAGTCTTGACATATGTAAACCGTAAAAATTTGAAGTCATTCTGATCATTACTTTGTCTATGGCAACTCTCCAAAGTTGTCAGCTGACATTGTCTGTCAACAATGAAGAAAATAGA